TGAGGAATCGGAGTAGTGAGGGTCTGGCCATCCCCAGAGGACCACAGAGCTCTTATGGGGGACCTGCTATCACTTCTGCTGCCGGGGGAAGATCAAAAGCACCGGAACCCAGAGATGGCACTGGCCCCAGCTGTTTACTGTGGGACCCTACCCACCCTTCTCGGGTTGGCTCTTAGTACCTAGAAAGCCTGCTAATAATCCAACAGTCATGTGCAGCTTTTAAATTAATTGAGTGCTGAGGACTCACACCTGTAATCCTAGCTACTCAGGAGGCTGAGATCTGAGGATCTCTGTTCAAAGCCAGCACAGGCAAGAAAGTCTTGAGACTCTTATCTCCAATTAGCCACCAGAATACTGGAGGTGGTGCTGTGGCTCAAACTGGTAGTACTAGCCTTGAACAAAAAAGCTCAGGAACAGCACCCAGGCTTGAGTTCAAGCCCCTCCCCCCAAAAAAAAAATTTGAGAAGTTGGGCACCAGTGACTCAAGCCTGTAATCTTAGCTACTCAGGAGGCTGAGATCTGAGGATCATGGTTGGAAGACAGCCCAGGCAGTAAAGTCCATGAGACTTTTTTTTTTTTGGTCAGTGGTGGAGCTTGCACTTCAGGGCCTGAGCACTGTCCTTGAGCCTCTTTGTGCTCAAGGCTAGTTCCCTACCACTTGAGCCATAGCACCACTTCTGGTTTTTGAGTGGTTAATTGAAGATAAGAGTCTCATGGAGACTTTTCTGCCTAGGAGGGTTTCACCGTGCAAGCCTCTGATCTCAGCCTCCTGAGTAACTAGGATTACAAATGTGAGCCACATGTGCTGGGCTTCATAAGAGTCTTATCTCCAATTAACACCAAAAGCAAAGTGGTACTATGACTCAAGTGGTAGAGCACTAACCTTGAGCCAAAAAAGGCTCAGGGACAGCACCTAGGCCCTAAGTTCAAGCCCCATGACTGACCAAAAAGAATCTGTTAAGGGATTGGGAGGTGGCTCAGTGGTAGAGTGCTTGCCTCACATGCATGAGGCCCTGGGTTCGATTGCTCAGCACCACATAAACAGAAAAAGCTGGAAGTGGTGCTGTGGCTCGAGTGGTAGAACGCTAGCCTTGAGCTGAAGAGCTGAGAGACAGCGCCCAGACCCAGAGTTCAAGCCCCACAACCAAAAAAATAAAAATAAAAAAAGCTATTGAGGTAAATAACATGCCATAAATTCACGAGTTTTAAGTATATAATTCAATGCTTTTAAAAAATTTTTCAGCCGGGTGCTGGTGGCTCACGCCTGTAATCCTAGCTACTCAGGAGGCTGAGATCTGAGGATCGCAGTTCAAAGCCAGCCTGGGCAGGAGAGACCGTGAGACTCCTATCTCCAATAAACCACTAGAAAACCGGAAGTGGCACTGTAGCTCAAGTGGTAGAGCGCTCGCCTTGAGCTGAAGAGCTGAGGGACAGCGCCCAGGCCCAGAGTTCAAGCCCCATGACCGACAAAAAAAAAGTATATTCAAAGAGCTGTGCAAGCTAAATGCCAATTAACTACTCAAGAGACTGATATCTTCAGATCTCAGTTCAAAGCCAGCCCAGGCAGACATGTCTGAGAGACTCTTATTTTCAACTAACCAGCAAAACACAAAAACAAAAACAAACCCAACCAAGTAGAGGTGTGGTTCAAGGGTTACAACAACAGCCTTGAGCAGAAATAAAGCTAATCTGGGTGCCAGCAGTTCAAGCCTGAGATCTGAGGATTTCAGTTCAAAGCCATCCTAGGCAGGGATGAGAAAACCCATGAGACCCTTTTTTTTATCTTTATTTTGTCAGTCATGGGGCCTGAACTCTGGGCCTGGGCGCTGTCCCTCAGCTCTTCAGCTCAAGGCGAGGGCTCTACCACTGGAGCCATAGTGCCACTTCAGGATTATTTCTGCTTATGTGGTGCTGAGGAATTGAACCCAGGGCCTCATTCATGCAAGGCAAGCACTCTACCACTGAGCCACCTTCCAGGCCTAAGACTTATTTCTAATTAACCACCTCAAAACTGGAGGTCCAGGTTGAGTTTAAGTCCCACTACAAGAAAGAGGAGGGAGAGGAAACAAGGGAGAAAGGAAGGGAGCAAGAGAGAGAGGAAGAAAGGAGAGAGAAAAATAAAAGGAAGCAAGGAAGCAAGGAAAGAAGGAAGAAAGGAAGGAAGGAAGGAAGGAAGGAAGGAAGGAAGGAAGGAAGGAAGGAAAAGAAGCTAAGTGAAAGTGTGTAGCCTGGGTTCAAGCCCCAGTACTGGCACACACTCACATAAAAAAAGTTGTGCAGGTGGGGCACCAGTGGCTCACACCTGTAATCCTAGCTATTCAGAAGGCTGAGATCAGAGGATCACGGTTCAAAGCTAGCCTGGACAGGAAAGTCCATGAGACTCTTATCTCCAATTAACCACCAGAAAACAGGAACTGGTGCTGTGATTCAAGTGGTAAAGCACTTGCCTTGAGATGAAGAGCTCAGAGATAGTGCCCAGGCCCAGAGTTCAAGACCCAGGACTGACAAAAAAAAAAGTTGTGCAGTTGCCAGTGGCTCATGCCTGTAATCCTAGCTGCTCAGGAGGCTGAGATCTAAGGATCGTAGTTTGAAGCCAGCCCTGGCAGGAAAGTCCATGAGACTTTTATCACCAATTAACCACAGAAAAAGCCAGAAGTGGTGCTGTGGCTCAAGTGGTAAGGTGCTAACCTTCAGCTAAGGATCACCCCCTCCCCCCCAAAAAATGTTGTGCAACCACTATCTAATTTCACCACATTTTCATCACCACCAAAAGAAGTATAGTGCCCATCAGCCATCAAATTTTGTGTCTCTCCTTTTCTCTCTAAAGGCAGCCTGCATCTACCAGCTGGATTTCCCCCGATGCTGAGTGGAAAGCTGTCTCACTGGTGAAGTCTGCGGCAACCTCAGTCTCATACAGATGCCACGGTGGTCCTCGACTTCCTCTTCCGTTCCAGATACCTGACAGATCAGCCAGCTGCCCGCCCGTCACCTCGCAGACCTGGCCCTTCTATCAGACAGTGGTCCAAGCACTCCGGCTGCGTTGGGGCTGGCACTGCAGGGGAACCTTTCACCATTTAAGGCCTGACCCTGCTTCCTTGCAGAATCCCAGGGCACACAGAGCCTGGAAGATGGACGCAGCCGCAGGGCCCGCTCCAGCTGAGGCTCACCTTGCGGAGGAGATCCTCCAAGCTGCGGGCCATGAGGCCTTTGCGCACTTTCCGATCTGCGGAGCTCACTCTGCAGGGCCGGGCCGGGGCCCTCCGGGCTTCCTGGCTGGGTTCTGACAGCAACTGCTGGGTCACCACCGCGGTGCTCACGGCCACGTGCCTGGGGAGTTTGGAACGTCTGATGAGCTCGCTGCGGCTGCGGCTGCGGTGGGTAACAGTGCCCCTCACACACCAGGCTGGCTTTTTTTTTTTTTTTTTTTGCCAGTCCTGGGGCTTGAACTCAGGGCCTGGGCACAGATTCTTTGGCTCAAGGCAAGCACTCTACCCCTTGAGCCACAGTGCCACTTCTGGCTTTTTCTGCTTATGTGGTACTGAGGAATCAAACCTAGGGCTTCATGCATGCTAGGCAAGCACTCTACCACTGAGCCACCTTCCCAGCCCCCAGCTGGCTTTATCCTGCATCTCCTCAGCTCTGGGCCGCTGACTCAGAGCCGCCCAGAACACTTCCACTGGCCTGTGATGGCATTCGAGTCACCTGCCGAGGCAGATTCTCATTCCGTAGGTCTGGGTAGGGCTTGGTGGGAGGGAGCTATATGTCTAACACCATGAGCAAGGTGATGAGGCCCACCCATCCCCCCATCCCCACTTCCTCTCTTAGTCTTATCTCACCACTGGCTCACACCTATAACCCTAGCTACTCTAGAGGCTGAGATCTGAGGATCATGGTTCAAAGCCAGTCCAGGCAGGAAAGTCCATGAGACTGTGTGTGTGTGTGTGTGTGTGTGTGTGTGTGAGAGAGAGAGAGAGAGAGAGAAAGAGAGTGTGCTTGAACTCAGGGCCTGAGCCCTGTCCCTGAACTTTTGTAGTCAAGGTTAGAGCTCTACCTCTTGAGCCATAGCTCTACTTCTGGCTTTTTTGGTGGTTAATTGGATATAAGAGTCTCATAGTCTTTCTTGCCTAGCTTTGAACCTCGATCCTCAGGTCAGTCTCATAAGCAGCTAGGATTACAGGGATTACAGGTGTGAGCCAGCGGTGACTGGCTTCCATGAAAATCTCTGGGTGGGGGGGAGGAGGGAGGAAGAAGAGAGAGAAAGAGGGAGAAAGAGAGACTGGGTGCTCCGCTCGGTGCCTCGGCTTCCCTGTCTATTAATGTGGGCCAATAATTCTTGTCTCCCATGAGATCAGGACTGAAAGCAGCCAGCACAGAGCCCACCTACCCCGTCCGGCATGGGGGGGGGGGGAGAGGGGCAGTGTGCACTTCCTGCGGGACGGGTCGGGTCAGGATTACAGGCTTAGGCTCTACTCCAGACCTCCTGAGTCAGAGTCCCAAGGGGTAAGGTGGTCTAAGCGCCTGCTCAGAGCATCCCCTTCCCTTCTGCCCTTGGCTTCCTCACCTGCATAAGGACTTGGGGTACAGAAGGCTCAGGGACTTCATGGCGTATTCCATCCTTTTCAGCTGGACCGCATTGGACCTGGGAGGGAGGCCAAAGGAGCTGGTTAGGGTGGGATAGGAGGCACTGTTTTGCCATCTAGCAAGCTCCTGACTTGGTCTCTCTTCTGAAATGACCCACAGCTCCCCAGCCCTTCTCTGCTGCCCCCACCCCAATGCAACTATGAGTGAGCTGGACACCCCCCCCAGCTCACGCTCCGCTGCACTCACTCCATGTCTCTCTGACGCTGGCACTGGTCACACTGAGCCGGACGTCTAAGTCCAGCTGAGGCCTCGCCCCGTCCCCAGGGGCAGAGTCCACTTTGCACTGGCTGGCAGTGAGCCACGCCCCTTGTCATTCTGGAGTTACCATGGCCACCTAGACTTCTGAGCCTTCACCTGCGCTCTGCCATGGCTCCTTGAGCAATCAAGCCCCCTGAGACTTCCTACTGGCCCAGAGAACCTTCTGTGATGACCGAAGTATTGCAGGTTTGTGCTCCCCCCAAACCAGATGCTATCAACTGCGTGTGGCTATTGAGCCTGTAAACGGTGGCTAATAAATAGCACTAAGAAGCTGGCTTGGTGATATTTCTCGAATTTGAACTAATTTAAATAGCCACAGTGGCCAGGTGCAGGTGACTCACGCCTCTAATCCTAGCTACTCAGGAAGCTGAGATCTGACAGAAAAAGCTGTAAGACTCTTATCTCTAATTAACTACCAAAAAGCCAAAAGTGGAGCTGTGGCTCAAGTGGTAGAGTGCCAGCCTTTATAGGAAAAGCTAAAGGGCCGGGCCTAGGCTCTGAGTACAAGTCCCAGTACACATGTGCATGTGCGTGCATGTGTGTGCACGTGTGCGCGTGCACACACACACACATGAATAACCATGGTGGCTTTTGACTTCCAGCATTCACACTGGACAGTATGGGCCTGGCAGGAAACCCTAGCTCTCACCTGCTACTATTTTTTTCCCCTAAATCACACAGCTGTCAAACCTCCGCACGGCCAGCTGCCTCCACCTGCAACGCCTTGCTCTGACTCAGAGCTCAAAGTCTGCTGTCCCCAAGCCCAGTTTCACAGCTTCTGATTCCTTGGAAAGCCTTTTAGAGGATGTTCAGAATGAGCGCGCCATCCTGCCTTGCTAGCCACCGGCCTGGCCCGGGTTTCAGCTGCGGCTCTTCCTCTTCTCTGCCCTAGCATGGGGAGCGCAACAAAGCAGGGAGCAGGGAACAGAAGCCCCTGGCTAGTCAGGCAAAATCACTGCTCTCCTCCTCACAACTTGGGGTTCCCCCAGGCGGCCCCCACAGAGGCAGAAGGCCCTCTTCCCCTCTTCGCCCTCCACTTACTCCAGGTTCACTCATTCTTCATCCCTGACACAATGCTATGGAGCATCGCCATACCTGCTCTCTAGGACCAAAGGCATCCAACGCCTCACCTCCCCCTCACAGCCTCCTCCTCAAGCGCAGAGCCAGCGCCAGCCCTGGCCGCCCTCCTGCCATTATATTCCAGCTCCCGTGAAGCCACTCCCCTGGCCTTCAGCCCCAGCTAGGGAAAAGAGCAGATGTCCAGGGGCTCCCCTGAGGGTTGCAGGCCAGCCTGCCTTCCGGAAAGGCCTGAAAGGAGGGAAGAAGGCATATTTCCACAGCTTGGCAAAGGGGCACAGCCCACCAGGATATCAGGCAAGAGGGCACAGAAAGCAACGTGTGGGCCCTGCTCCCAGCCCCACTCCACCCCAGACTGGCCACTGGCGCTGATCTGAGTTGCTTTACTTCTGGGAACCCTAGCTTCTCTCATTTGTACCATTCCTGGGTTGTTTTTTGTTTTTTTCTGTTGTTATTGTTATTTATTGTGTGTGTGTGTGTGTGTGTGTGTGTCTGTCTGTCTGTCTGTCTGTCTGCCTGTCTGTGTCTGTGTGTAAATGTGGTATGCTAGTCTTAGGGCTTGAACTCAGGGCCTGGGAGCTGTCCCTGAGCTTTTTCACTTGAAGCTAACATTCTATATACTATTTAAGCCACAGCTCTACTTCCAGCTCTTTGGTGGTTAATTGGAGATAAGAGTCTCTTGAACTTTCCTTCCCATGCTGGCTTCGAACCTTGATCCTCAGGTCTCAGCTTTCTATGTAGCTAGGATTACAGGCGAGAGCCATTAGGGCCTGGCTCTGACTTGTTTTCTAAGCAGTTATAGTGAGAATTAGTGACAATCAAAGTAAAGTCTTTCCAACTCACATACAATAGAGGAGATTGTATTATTGATTATATATTCAATGAATAATAGCAGAAATTAACACACACATCCTTAAGAGAAATGAAAACTTACATCCATATATCTATTTTGGTAAGTCACATAATCTTTTTTTTATTTATTTATTTTTGTTGGTCGTGGGGCCTGAACTCTGGGCCTGGGTGCTGTTCCTCAGCTCTTCAGCTCAAAGCTAGTGCTCTACCACTTGAGCTACAGCACCTCTTCCGGCTTTTTTTTTTTTTTTTTTTGCTTATGTGGTGCTGAGGAATCGAACCCAGGGCCTCAGGCATGCAAGGCAAGCGCTCTACCACTGAGCCACCTTCCCAGCCCTGGTAATTTTTATTTTTATATTATATATCAGTCATAGAGCTTGAACTCAAGACCTGAGCACTGTCCCTGAGGGTCTTCCCTCAAGATTAGTGCTCTACCATTTTGACATAGCACCACTTCCAATTTTTCTGGTGATTAACTGGAGATAAGAGCCTTTCCTGCCTAAACTGGCTTAGATCTCAGTCTTCAGTAGCTAGGATTACAGGTGTGTACCACTAGCACTTGGTTAGTTAGGTGAATTGTGTGTTATATAAATTATATCTTAGCTGGGCGTTGGTGGCTCACACCTGTAATTGTAACCACTAAGGAGGCTGAGATCTGAGGATGGCCATTTGAAGCCAGCTGGAGCAGGAAAGTCTGTGAGATCCTTATCTCCAATTATCTACTCAGGAAAAGCTAGATGTGGTGGTGTGGCTCAAGTAGTAAGAGTGCTAAGCCTTTAAAAGACAGCAAGCCCCTCCACAGGCAAATAAAAATTAAAAACAAAACAAGGTGATATTATAGCAAATGCCTGCGGCGAGAACTGGCTTGGATTTAGCTGAGACAGGTTTGAAGTCTTAGAGGTACCATTCAAGCAAAGCAAAGCCCCAGTGCATAGTGTTTGAGAAAGGAACCAGCAGGCTGAAGCAACAGGAACCTAAGTAGCTTATCCTTCAGGCTGACCAGGAGCCAGGAGGAAAGCGCAGCAGAACACTTCAGGGAAGAAGCACTGGGGAAAGGGTCACCCGTCCTCGGGCCATTCAGGCTTCAGCATGTATTGAACATTCTGTATTTACAGGCTGCGCCATGATAAAGAGGCCAGGGGATGACTCAGAACAGGCCAGCGCTGGTGGACAAAGTGCAGCGCAGAAGGTAGGCACCAAAAACGTGAAGCCAGGTACCTTTGGCTCACGCCTGTAATCCTGGCTACTCAGAAGACTGAAATCTGAGGATTATGGCTCAAAACTAATCCTGGCAGAAGAGTCTAGGAGACTCTTCAATTAACCAGAAAAAAAACCTAGATGTGGAGTTGTGGTTTAAGAGGTAGAACAACTTCCTTAAGCAGAAAAACTAAGGGATTACCAGGCACCAGTGGGTCATGCCTGTAATCCTAACTACGAAGGAGGTCGAAATCTGAGGATTATGGGTCAAAGGTAGCACAGGAAGAAGAGTCCCTGAGACTCTCCAATTAGCCACCAAAAGGCCAGATGTGGCATTGTGGCTCAAGTGATAGAGCTCTAGCTTTGAGTACAAAAGGTTAGGGCTATCACCCAGGCCCTGAGCTCAAACCCTAGCCCCAGCACATAATAAATGTAAGTCAGATGCAGTGGTACATACTGTAGTCCCAACCTGAGGCTGGGACAGGAATATTACTTAGACCTAGGAGTTTGGGATCAGCCTCCCAAGTAACTTTTTTTTTCTTTTGCCAGGCCTGGGGCCTGGACACTGTCCCTAAGCGTCTTTTTTTTGCTCAAGGCTAGCAATCTACCACTTGAGCCACAGCACCACTTCCAGCTTTTTCTGTGTATGTGGTATTGAGGAATGGAACCCAGCTAGGCAAGCACTCTGCCACCGAGCCACCTTCCCAGCTCCCAAGTAACTTGGAATGCAGCAGTCAAGCTGAAGTTTTCAGTTCTTCTAACAGTTTAAACCACCATCCACTTCTGGATCTCTTTCATCATCCCAAGCAGACTCTGCGCTCCACCCCACCGTTCTACTTCTTTCCTTTACAGATAGTATTATTTGGATTTTTTTTTCTTTCATGGCCTTAACATTTCCAAAGAGCCCAGTCCAGTTGTCTTGCAGGGTTCCTGAGTTTGGGTATAGGGTTTTGGGGTGTTTGTTCAGGGATTTCACAGATGCAAAGCTGGGTTGCAGTACTGGGATTTGAACTCAGTGTACCACGAGGTATCAAGGTGTCAGTGTGGCATAGTATTGGTTTAGGTAACTTTGGTCACTTGTCTGGACGAGCATGCGCCAGGTTTCCTTACTGTGAGGTTCATGCTTTCTCTTCGCTGCTGGATTCAGGAACTGTTCAATGTGTGGGAGCACGAAAGTCACAAACACTTCTAGGTCTCAATTTCCTGGTCTGGGAAGTGTGGACAGAAGGTGTGTTGTTGTTGTTGTATTTTGTCAGTCCTGGGGCTTGAACTCAGGGCCAGAGCACTGTCCCTGAGCTATTGTGGTCAAAGCGAGCGCTCTACCACTTGAGCCACAGCGCCACTTCCGGCTTTCTGGTGGGTCACTGGAGGTAAGAGGCTCTGGGACTTTCCTGTCGGGGCTGGCTTCGAACCGCCATCATCGGATCTCAGCCTCTTGGGTATTTAGGATTACAGGCGTGAGCCACCAACTCCTTGCTGGCAGAAGCGTCTTAAGCCAATAACGAAGCTTCGGAAAGGATCAGTGTGCGTCGAGCCTTTGGCAGCAAAAGACGCCGACGGTGGGCTCGGGGCTCGGCACGCACCTCGCCAGGGGGACTGGGCGGGGCCGCGAGAGCGAGGGCGCACGCGCGGGGCAGTGACCAACGAGTCGGTCCTCCAGAGACAGAGAGACC